TTGCTGACTTTGAGCGGTCACTGCATCCAATTTAGTTGCGGTCAAAGGCCTTCCTCGACGTCTTACTATTCTGAAGACCCTACTCTTTCATGCCCTGCCTCGGGAAGGCTTTGACCGCTGATAGTTTGGGAGCAGTGGTCTCGCAAAAATGGTCAAAAAGTGAATGAATTTCAGAAAATCGCCGTTTTTGCTGACTTTGAGCGGTCACTGCATCCAATTTAGTTGCGGTCAAAGGCCTCCCTCGACGCCTTACTATACTGAAGACCCTACTCTTTTATGCCCCACCTCGGGAAGGCTTTGACCGCTGATAGTTTGGAAGCAGTGGTCTCGCAAAAATGGTCAAAAGTGATTGAATCTCCGAAAGTATGATTGTCATTTCATTGGATGATGTTGATTATTTCTTTGATTACCAACTAGACGTGCAATGATTATCTTAAGTTGGGTACCCCTTGGCGTAGTCCAGCAATGCCATCCACACCGCGACCCACATTCCCCGACAACCTCCAAGCAGCTGACGCGGGTGTACACAAAGGCCATCAAAAAACAGCGGACACGATACCGTTCGCACAAAGGTTCGCCAAATTGGCAAAATGGCGCTCTCTCCGATCAGGATCAGCGCGTCGATCGAGGGGGTTGGTTGTTTTAGTGTGATGCCAGCCAGCCAGCCAGCCAGCCCGGTGTGACAATGCCAGATTTTGACGCTGGGCCCCGCGGCGGTGGGGTTGGGGGGCTTTGCGCTGCCAGTTCGCGCTGCCTGCCCGGCGTAATAAACTTTGCCGGGGCGGCCTCGCATGTGCAGCGCAGGTTGCCGGGCAGGGGTGGGCTCCCCGCGCAGGCCCTGCGGCTGCCTGGAGCTAACTGGCCGTGCCTCCAGCCCTTGCCTCCCGCCTTCCGCCTCACACGAGCTGATGGGCGCTCAAGCCGCAGCTTGCGCAGCGCCGCCTTCTTTGATGCAACGTGTTTATTAAATTCCCAGGAAGAAGAGTTGTTGGGCAAGTCCCCGGCCGCACCCCGTGCCGCCCTCGCCCTCGCCCGGCCGAGACCTGGCCTCGCCACCGGCCTCGGTGTTGCCGTTTGTGCTGTATTATTACGCCGGCGCATTCCTGCCGACGGTGCGCCCCGGGGGCCGAGGCGGGCCGAGGCGGGCCGAGGCGGGCCGAGGCCGCACGGCCTCCGCCTCCACGCCCCCTCCCCCTGGGTCCCTCATAAATGGGCACCTGGAAAAACTGAAAGGGAGAAAAGGTGCAGACGGCCCCCGCCATCCGCCCGCTCGTTTCCGCCGACAATTCCGCCGAAATAAAAAAAGAAGACAGAAGACGCGGCGGCACGAAAATCCGTGTCGACCGCAAATTTGGTAGAAAAGCGCTTCCGAGGCGTGGCGCCGTAATTGGTAATTAATGAGTCGACTGCGCTGATCGTGCTGCTGTGGCGGGGCGGGGCGGGGCGGGGCGGCCCCGCGCACCGGGCGGCGACGTGGAACATCTCGCGGAGCTCGGCGGAGCGCAAACTTTTGGGCCACCGGCGCACCGCGGCGCTCCGCCGAGCCCCGCCGGGCTCCTCCACCACAGCACGACGGCGAACGGCGTCGGGGAGTGCGGCGCGCCCAACTTCGCGACTACCGCGAGCGAGGAGAGGAGGCGCAGCATCGCGGCATCGCGGCAGGAGCAGAGAGCCGTCTTCCTCGCTCGGTCTCTAGCACGCACTCCATGAGGGCAAAAGAGACGACCCTCGGAGGGCCGCCAGTGGCGCGCGGTTCGCCGCCGACGACGGCCGCGCACCTGCTAAAGCCAATGGCGGTCGCCTCCCCCCTCGCCGCCCCGTCGTCCCCGCCTCCTTCATCTTGTTCATCTTCCCGGTGTCCGCCGCGTCCCCCGGGACCGCGTCGCGACACGGCCCACTCCCTTTCCTGGCCGCCACGCCACTTGGCGGCTCGCCGCGCCAGACTCGCCGACTCCAGCCTCCCCCTTCTCTCGCCGCCTCGCTGTCCAAATGGCCGCAAAGTGAATCCATTATTTACACGGCGGCTGAAAACTCCCGCCCACTGTCGCCCCCCGTACACTGTAAACAATCAGAGGCGATTTTCACCACGTGTCGAGCGGTCTCAATCCGTCTGTGTGTGTGTGTGTAAGTGTGGGTAGGTGTGTGTGTGAGTGTGAAAAGGGGGAGCAAGGTGGGAGGCGGGGCGCCTCGGCCAGCCTGACGTTTCCGTCGTGCTCAGTCACTTTGAAAGCCGTTTTCCCATGTCGCCATTTTACTGCCTTGACCCGCCCCTCCCAATTTTCCATCGCCCTGGTCATGTCCTCCCCCCCCCCCCCCCCCCCCCGGGCGTGCGAGTGCCTCCCTTCCGCCTTGTCATAACACAGGCTGACGATAAGGTGTAATACCTCCCCGCCTCACAATGGGGTATGGGGAAGGGGGTGGGGTGACGAATGGAGGCGAGGGCTGGCGAGGGCTCACGTCGTCGCGCACAGCGAGTCTCGCTTTACCTTTTCAGCTTTTCAGTGTGGCACCGCGAGGACTGCGCCTCTCGCCCTGTTTGCGAAACCGACGGCAACGGCAGTGGTAGTCCGGCCGGAGGCTGCGCGCTGCTCGCGCGATTCGGACCAAAGGAAGCGAAGCGTCTCGCTACCCTCGACAGAGGTCGGTCGCTCCGCCCGGGTCGCTCGCTACCCAACCACCGACCCGCACCTTCCTTCCGTCCGCAACAACAGCAGCAAAACAGAAGCCCGGCATACGAATAAGATTAAGTTACGGCGCGGTCCGTGAAAAGCCCCGTCCCGTCGGACAGCGCGAAGGGCAGCGCGCTGACGCATCGCCGCCACGGCGCGGCGCGCAGCGGATCGCTTCCGATGTTGTTGATGGTTCCAGCGCCAAAGTCTCGAGCAGGAAACTGGTTGGCAAACTAATGCGCAACTTTGATGGAAGGTTAAAAGCCCAGCGGTGCCGGCGCGGGGCCCTCCTTGTCACGCCCTGCCGCCTTCCGGGTGGAGTCGCGGGGCGGAGCCAGCAGGCTGTCTCTGTCGCACTCACGGGGCGCCCGAAGCGGCCCGAGGGCCCCGTAGGGGTGCGAGAGAGACAGCGCGTCGAAAGCGGCCATCGACAGGGCGGCGGTGGCGGGAACGGCGCGAGAAAAGAAAGATGGTTGTGACACGTTGAGCCCACCGCGGCACGCGCTGGCTGACACGGCCTGCTACAAGAAGGCATGGGCGCCGGGCCAGCCCACTGACCTCAGGAGTTTTGACTAAAAAAAAATGGCCTCCGTGTCTTAATTTTGTAACGGCGAGTGGAATGCATCATATGCGCGAAGAGATATTTTTCAAGCGTTGCCCCGTGCTGCACGCTTTGAGCTCGAATCCTTGCCTTCATTTCCGGCAGGGTGGGGGCCGAGTGCAGGCTTGCCATCCTGCCCCTGCTCCCGCTGCCCCCTGGCCTGCCTGTGCGACTCGCTATGCGACGCTAGGCGGGATGAAGCCCTTGGCGTGGTCGGCCAAGCTGGACATCGATCACAAATTGTTGAAGCCCCCTTTGGGAAACAAAACAAAAAGCAGCCGAGTTTGTTTTGGACTCATCGAGCGGACCAACGGAATGGAAACTTTATGCAGTCGTCGCCATTATGTTGAAGCGGAGTTTCGTCGCCCCCGATCGCTGCAGCTTTCAGAGTTGGATTCCGGAACGAAACTTTGTAATGCAGCAGCGGCGTGAAGGCCTGACGTCGTTCTGTTCGGTTCTGCTGCGTCGAGCTGTCCGACTTGTGCCCTCGAAGGCGGCGCGTCGAATCGATTCTTAGTTAGCGCGTGGCGTGGCTTGCCGTGGCGCGGCGTGGCGTACGCACGTGCGTCGTGTTTCTGCGGCCCATACGGCCCACACCCTGCTGGCTAATTCCCACAGAAAGGCCGGCGATCGTAGCCTCGTGTGGGGGCTTCGGCTTCGGCTCGAGGCTCCGATGTATTGAGTGGCGGACAGAGGGGCCTTTCTCTGGAGCTTCGGCTCGGCTCGGCGGGGCTGGGCTGGGCCCCGTGGAGAGCGGCTCGACTCGGCTCGTCTCCCATCACCGCAACCACCGCGGCCCCGCGACCCACGCCCCGCGGTCGGCACTCGTCACGGGCTGGGCCCGCAGGGCATGCTGCCCAGTATTCCGGTGTAGGAGCGGCTCGACGTTGCGTGCTGCCGCGTCCTGGAAACAGCTGCTTCAACATCTGTAAAATAGGAAAAAAAAAAATTAACAAAAGCAAGAAGAAAACTAGAATGTTTGTTCAAACAAATAGTGAATTAAAAATATCTTTTTGCGACTATGTGAACGTGCTTGCTGGGTGCATCTCCTTTTCGGAGGCCCGTGCCGGGAGTCCCCCTTCCCCTGCAGCACTTGCCCCTGATGAGCCCCGTCGCCGTCCTCGTCATTTGCGTACGCCGATCTTGCCAGGCCTCGGCGGAGGGCGTGCCCCGCCACGCACTTTACGCCGCCAGTAGTTGTTGTCTGGTGATGAATTTTTCATCAGCCCGCGCCGCGAAGCCGCGAAGCGCCCCAGCCGACGCCTGTCACATGAGCCCGCCGGAGGGAGGGCAAAGGGGCGCGCGCGCCTCCAAGCGCCGAATGCGCCGGGCGCGCAGTGCACGAGACGCGGCACCGGCCGCCCGACAGCAAACAGCCTCCCTAGGCCCTAGGCCTCTTGTGCGGCTCGGTTTATCCGCGGAGAAAGCTCGGCGGCCGTGCTAGAAGCAGCCTTGCCCTGCTCGCCCCGCTCGCCCCACACCCTGCCTGCCAAACACCTGTCGCGCCGTCCGAGAGTCCGAGCGCGGCGGGGCCGTTGGCCGGAGGCCGCCTGGGCCGGGCCTGGCGTGCCGCGTCAGGCCGCCCGGCCGCGGCCCTGCTGCAAACTCTGACCGGCCAAGCGATTCGGACCCTACAGACTCGGCTCTCCCCTTGCTTCCCTAAAGTGCGAGTGTGTCTGTCTGACGCGTCCGCGTGCTTGCAGACGGTGCCGGGCCCCCCGGCCGCGCCCGCAGCGCCCGCAGCGCCTCGGTGCAAGGGGCGTCGGAGACGGCGTCTAGACCTGGAGCGACCCTGGAGCCAACGCCCAGCGCAGCCGCCGGCCAGGACCCCGCCCAGGACCTCTGTGTCGTCCCGTCCAGACCAAGTGGTGAGTACCAACCACGGGCCCCAGCATCGTCGCCGACGTCCGCTTCGGGTATCTGTCGTCCATTTTAAGAGTGCCTCAGAGTGGCTAGTCCCTGAACCAGTTTCGAAAAACATTGGTCGTTGGTTTGTCACCAACACGGGTTGTTTTCCCACGTGCGGACCCGTACAACAACGTGCCACTCTGTGCATCCTTGCAGCTCAGATTGCACGTGCCATGTCCATGCCAGCATGAGCCGCGCCAGCAACACGGCTTGCGGCCCGACTTGCCGCCCGCTGGCCTGCCCAGCCAGCCGCCCAGCCTGCGACCCGCTGATTGCGGGACTCGCACACAACGGACGCGCGCGTGGGGAGTGGTTTACAGTTCCACCCTTTTCCCGGAACCTGGAACGCTGGAGGATTACGTGGCCCGACTCACCGGCCGAGGGAGGGCGAACCCCTGACGACGCGAAGCCCCATTGTGCGACACGTGACACCTAGCGGACTCCGGGTGGAGGGAGGGTGGTGTGGCTGGACCCGCTTCATTGGCTTGTGTGTGCGGTCTTGGCAGAGTAAATGTAGAGTAATGTGCATTGTGGCGTTCTCTTTCTGTTTTGCAGCCAAGAGCCGGTACGAACTATGCGCCGTCCCCTGCCACGCCAACGGTGCGTATGCTGTCCTCGCTTTCCGCTTTTGCGCTTCTATTTACTGCCACGCTAGTTTTTTTTACAATTAACAATCACGCTAGTTTTTTTTTACAATTTACAATCATGCTTCTTTTTTCTGATTGTATGACCGTTTACACGTTATTTTGGACTTGCCTATCGATTTAAAACCGAAACGCTTATGTGTAGCTCAAAAAATGCTTTCTTCGGAAAATTTTGTTGGACTTTTTGCAATTATTTTAATTTTGAATCAAACAAATTATTCAAGTCACCATATCATTGTCTTTAATTCGGGAAAGTCATGTCCTTACCAGAATGTCGACTTCAACTGGGTCCTTTCCGTCGGCTTCAGAAAGGAGCGTCGTGTCAGCAAAGGGATCGTTTTCTGGGCGTGATAAGAATGATTATTTTCAACCTGAGGGTCTTGTTTTTTGTATTCCGTGTGCCGGAAGAACGAACACGAGTCTACCGCCGCGTGCCCGTCGAGGCTGCCTGCTTAGCTCGGTGTGTAAGGAGATCTATCTTCTTATGCTTAGCATATGTGTGTGGCGGTCTGTCTGCCTACCTCGCAGGCGTCCCTGGCGACGGCTCTGCCTGCCTGGCTGCCTGTCGCACTTTACTCACGTTTCCCCATTTGAATTTTACAAAGAACAGAAGAAAGTTGAGCAAAGCACATCCAAAATAGTCTGGAGGACACCAAAAAAGTTCTGTAGAAACTAAAATATTATGAAGTTTTGTTCAACAGCAAATCACAAACATAAGTAAATTTTTTTCTCACGTATTCCAAGTAAATCATCTTATAAAAATTGTTTACGCAAAACTGCGACTTTTTAAATTTTTTTTAAACTTTTTCAGACAAGTCTGAGTCTGTTGTTCGCAGTGTTCGTTAGGGCCGGAAGGCTGCTATGCCTACGTTGCGCACCTTGCAGGCAGGCTGACGAGCTCGGCAGGAAGGCGCGCCGCAGCGGCCCTTGCGGTGGAGGCCCAGCCGGCCCAGCCAGGCCTCGTCCTGCAGGACAAAGTCAGCAGGTCACTGGGGCCTGGCTGGCCTGCCTGGGAGGCCCTCTTTGTGTGCTCGGAGACCCCGGGGCACTGCGGGGACTGGGCCGAGGCGGGGCGGGGCTGCGGGGTGTGATTTCATGACGGGAAGGGGGGGGGCACAAACTGGGGTCGGCTTAAGGGGTGGGGTGCCGGCTACTCGCACACCTTTTTCGCTCAATCTTGTTACCCCCCCTCCCAGGCCGAGCGTGGACGCGGCGGCGCGGTGGGAGCTAATATGAACTCACAACACATCCCCGGCCGCTTCCCCGGTTAATAACTTGCTTTGCGCGGTGCTGCCTTCCAGCCTGGCGGCCTCGGTGTTCGAGTCGGCCGCGTTGGCAGAACGGCGAGGCGCGGCAAAGGTTCATCGTGTTGCCCTCCTTCCCCAAGCCCGGCTGTGCGGCGCGGTGCCCACGGGTGTCGCCGTGCTGTGTACGGGGTCGCCTCTTTCCCGCGCGACTTGAACCGCATTTCGGCGGGAAGAGATTTAGTCGATCAGGCGGCCGAAGGAAGTGGCATGGAGTGGTGCGGAGTGGCAGCACTCTGCGCGTCGGTCAGTAAAAGTCTCTCAGTCCACCTCCTCTGGGTCCGCCCACGGGCCCGCCCCCGGCCCGCCCCTCCGGCCCCCCGAGTGCTCTCAGCATCCGCGCCGCGCTTCCATCTCCGCCCGGATTCTTTTATAGAGCCCCGGGAGCAAAGTGGCCTTGAAATTGTTTCGTCCGAGGAAGTTAAATCCTCTCTTGTCCTCCGGGCGCGGTCGCCTCCGGCCGGGCCGTCTGTTGCGCGAGTAGGTGCGCCCGGCCAGGCCCGGCCCGGGCCGCGGGGTGTGGATGGCGACTGTCACGAGCACCCCCCGGACTCGACACTCATTTTCGTTGTTTTCGTGTTTTTACTGAAAGCCAATTTCGCTGTTACAGGCATGCTGCTGGACCAGGTGGGCGTGGACTTCATCGCGTTAGAAAACAGGTGAGGACGATTTTCCACTATAGAAGTAAAGACGGAGAGTGAATTTCTGCAAGCGCGCAATGATTGCGGGATGGAATGAGACAAACTGCTTTGGAAAGCAAATCGAAGCTCCGCTATGTAAACACCCGACGCGGGCCTTTGTGCCGCGATGGCCACACGACCGACTCAATTTGGGGTCCCCGGCCAGAACAAAAAGGAGAGTAATGACCCGAAAGGAGGAGCGGGCCGAAGAAAGGGCGAAAGAAATTCGCGGACGGCCCCTTGACGGATCTCAGCGCGTTAGGGAAGACACTTGTGCGGCGCTCCGCCGCAGCTCTGGGACCGGGCGCAACTTTTGGTGGTGCTGATGGTGGGGCTGTTTGCACGGTGGGCAGTCGCCGCGCAGCCGCCCGCCCGCCCCGCCCCGCCCCGCCCCGCCCCGCCCCGCGCGGCCCGCGGACCTGGCCGCAACTTTGCTCTCATCAACTGGCCAGCCCTGACGGGCCCGGCCGCCCCGCCCGACTCGGCCACTCCAACAAGCAACTACATGCGACAGCACGGCAGCGCGGCAGCACGCCCCAAAAAGGCCCCTGACGAGGCCCCGGCCGGCCCGGCCCAGGCACTGGGCCACTCTGGCAAAGTTTGGCGGCATCGGGGCGGCCGTGGCCGGGCTGCCAGAGGCTGCTAGAGGCTGCCAGGCTCTCCGAACGGAGGCCTGCTTGGCCTTGGGTCCTGGGGGAACGGCCCCCGGTGGCCCCTCAGGTGGAGGCGCGGGCGTGCCGGGGCGGGCGCCAAGCCAAATGACAATCACGTCAGTGGCGCGTCAAGGAGGAGGAGGAGGAGGCCCTCTCGGAGGCCAGTCTTTTGCCAGTCCGCCTTCTTTTAGTTGTCCTCCGGGGAAATTCCATACGGTGGGGTTGAATTATTTGGCTTCGCGCTTCGCCTCGCGGCCCGGCTCCGCTGGGACTGGGCGCGCATCTTCCGTCCCTCTGTCTCTCTCGCGCCTGCATGAGAGAGAGAGAGAGAGAGAGAGAGAGAGAGAGAGAGAGAGAGAGAGAGAGAGAGAGAGAGAGAGAGGACTGAACGTCTCCTTGTTGCAGGGTGGCTGAGCTGGAACGTCAGATGCGGGTGGACTACGAGGTGCTCCCCCCCATCGTGCAGGACCTGAAGCAGGAGGTCACGAGGTTCCGCGCCAAGCTCGAGAAGACGGAACACCTCGGGTGGATGGGTGAGTAGAGCAGCAGTCTGTATCGGTTTCGACAGTGTGGGAGCGCGGCCCCTTGCCGTCCCGGGACAGCTGCAGCCGGAACAAGGGCTTCGTCGCTGTCTCTCGGCCCACGAGTGCGAGACAGACGGAGCGCAGTGTCCCCGTGGTTCGGAGCGAGCCTGCTGGCGTGCCTGAGCCAACCCGCTGGGGCGCTGGCGCTATGGGACGACGGCGTGGCTCTTCCACTGTGCCAGCAGCACCTGCCCAGTCCCGCGATCCGCCTCGCCCCGCCTCGCCCGCCTCGTCCTGCCATTTCACAGTGTGGCTTGCCGGGCTTGCCGCTCTTCGGATTAATCCCAGCAGTCCCGGGAGGCACCGCTGTTTGACGGCCGCGCCGCGAATAGCTGCCCCAAGTTGGGCAAAAGTTTAGTTGGCTCGTTTCGCGAGGAGGCCCCTGTCCCGGTGCAGCTCCGACTGCACTGCATGCCGGGGGCTGGCCGGCTGGCCCTTCGACTCACACAGGCTGCGAAATGCAGGGAAATGCTGCGACGGACTTGTTGCTGGGGTAATGCGTGAGTCTGTCCAGTCCACGCCACGCCACGCCACGCCATGCCGGCCCACGCAGACGCAGGCCGCCCAGCTGTAGGAAGTAATCGAATCGCCGACGCCCAATCTCCTTTCTCGTTACCGCCTTCGGTCCGCTCGGCGTGTCCTTATTGGTCTTTATGCTCTCGTCGTTTTCTTGTTTGTTTGTTTTTTTCGCGCCATTTTCGGGCGTTTTTTGCTTTTTCTCCCCCCGGCCGCCGCCGTGATTTTTTTCCGGTCCGGGCCTGCAGACTGATTCCAAAAAAAATTCGTTCGTTCTGCTTCTTTCTCGCACTCGCCGGGCATCCCGTAGAGGTGCGAGAGAGACGGAGCGACGGAAACGACTTTTGGCATCAGCCTGCTGGACTCGTTCGTGTCCCGCTCGCTCGCTTGGCGCCGCCTTTTTGATCCGCGCCCGGAAATGGGTGTAGAGTGACGGCCTCCGGGCCGAGCGGGGCCGAGCCGGGCCGAGCCGACGAAGGCCCAAATGCACCCCATCACTGTCCATATCGGCTCGGCCCGCGTCGGGAAACAAAAAATGGAGAAAAAAAACTGGTGGCGTGAGTGTGGCAATTATTTCGGGAGGAAAAAGGACTTCCCTTTTCAAGAGCCGCTCCCCGATAGGCTTGCGTCTGTGTGTGTGTGTGAGTGTGTGTGTGTGTGTCTGGGCCATATGGTGGGGGTATGTCGAGCAAAGTTTGTTCACCAGCAGCTCTGCCGGCCCTGCCCACGCGGCGACGGCGAAGTCAGCAATCTGTCGCGATTTTTCGACGACTCGGGGCCCCGCAAAGAGCGATGAGGCATCTCAGGGACTGGCGCGGTCGTGGGAGGGCGTGGGGAGGGGGCGCGGGGGAGTCCCGCACAACACGGCCGCTGAGGTCGCTGAGGTATGTGCCCTTATACCTGTCCGTTCATACTCCGGCCCCGCCCTCGCAGCCTCGTAAAAACCGAAACACACACGCACTCGGGCAAAGCTGGGGGGTTGGTGGTGGTTTCATCAAGCCTACCGGACACACAAGCCACGCCGCGCTCTCTTATTACGACTTGGTGCAGCGAGGCTGCCTCTCCAGACACAAAGGCTGCATTGACATGGCACGGAGGCTCGCCAGAACAACACGCAAGCACACGCTGAGGCTCCCGGGCAGTGAGACACGCACATGCACAATGTGCTGGTCTGCCCTGATGCTTTTGTCCGAGGAAAGAGCGAAGCCTGCTGTCTCATCTCGAGACATCGGTCTCATTCTCGAAACATCGATCGCGTTCCGAGACATCGGTCTGTCAACAGCCAGAGAATAAAACGGAAGCGCTCAAGCCGCCGGGGGTCGCTGTCCCATTCTGTTCCATGCGTATCTCGATTCATGTAGAGAGTCTCGTTACAACGGCGCTCTCATCGAGGGGGGGGAGTTAGACTGCAACACACAAACACAGCAGCTACTCGTACGGCCTGCGGGCTCGACTATGCACCCCAGTCGGCCTGCCGTGCACGGCGTCCGAAGCATAGCAGTGGAGCGGACTGCGTGAGGGAGCACACGCCCCCCGCGGCACCAGGGAGGGGTGGGAGGGAAAGGGGGGAGGGGGAGAGAGAGGCCCAGCGACCACCAAATGATCTCCTTGAGAAGCCCTTAAACGCAGCCCACCCGGCCAGCGGGCCGCCAGCGGACCCCAGTGGTGTCCCTACGCGCAATCAGCAGGGCGTCCACGGGGAGGGGGGAGGGGGAGGAGGTGGCTGGGGGTGGGGGTATTATTGAATCCGTCAGGCAGGCGGCGGCCCGGCCTGCCCGGCGCCGTGCCGTTGTCGCCGCCCCCTAAAATGCCGAGACACATTTACCGAGAAACTCACTTTGCTCTATTGCTTCATAATATCTTGTTGAATAGGCTGGCACAGCCTTTGACACGCCACGCCGTGTCGGCAGAATAATGCGATTTGGCACGCCGGTTTCTTTTCTCTTTTTTTGCGGGGTAGGGCGTGGTGGGGGACACTGACCTGAGCGGGCCGCCTCTGCTGTGTCACTCCACTCGGCGCCCTCCAGCCCTCCCCCCTCCCCCTCCCCCACAGGGCGCTCCGTCACGCACGCCCACTGTAGTTTTGACCTACTTAGTGGAGGGGCAAATGCAGGATTGTTGTTAGCGCTGCTTTACGCCCTGCGAGGGCTTAGGTATATACTCGCGCTGGGGCAGTAACACACCTTGCGTATACACTGCCAAAGACTAAGCCTCCCGCCGTCGCTAATTAGTTCTCGCAAAACAAAAACAGAACTGTTTCCTTCCCGAAATTATTCGTTGGTGGTTACCGCTCAGAGTATGTTTTCAGCTGGCGGGGAAACAAGACGTGAAATTGCGTCGCCGGAGGAGTGATTGTCGTACGGGTCCGCAAGGCAAGACAATACGCGAGCGTGCCCGAGGGACGTTGGAGTGGCGCGCAGCCGCGCGGCCCGGCCGTATTCGCTGCTCCATCAATGTGAGTGTTTCCCTTTTGTGGTGGGGCCGCGGGGGGGGGGGGGGGCAGTACGCGGCATTCTTTGAGGCTCGCCGTAATCCGACGGCGCCACTTTACAGCGCAGACGGAGACGTGGAGACGGTGGAGGAGGCTGGCTTTGACTTCTGGCTTTCCCACGGCCCACCGGGCCACCGGGCCCACCCCACCGTAGGTTGAGGCCCCTGCGGTGTGGTTCGCGCTGGTCGCCAAATTGGCGTGGCCCGGCGAGGCCTTCAAAGGCACCCCGCTGGTCGGTCGCAGCCTCGCAGCCTCGCAGCGGCGCGCTGTTTCGGGGAACCCGGCCGGGCCTCGGCCGCCTCGGCCTCGCAAGGCTTCGTCATTTGGGACGGCGCCGTGGCCGTGGCCCCGCCGGCCTCGCCGACCAATGGCAGCGCTGCATTCGCGAACCGGAGACTCCAGACCCGCCGAGGACGACGTCGTGGCGGTCGACGGCGGCCTGCGGGCAACCAGTCGGGAAATGGCGGTAGATTTCGTTTTCAAAGTTGGCGACATCGCAGCGGCTCTTTGAGGGTGCACTACTGCCACATGGCGACTTCCACTGGACCTTGAAGGGCGCGGAGCGGCGCGGAGACGGGGAGGACCCCTCCGGTCCGGCCGACCATCCGGAGTGAGGGACGGGGCGGGGCAAGCGCTCTGCCGAGGGCTCTGCCGAGGGCTCTGCCAAAAAGAAGGGAAACCTTCGATCCTCTCAGCAACGGCCGCAACCTGGCCGTCGAATTTCTCACAAGAACCTTTTCCCCGATTCCCTGGAGGGTTAGTCCCGCTCGTCCACACTCACGTCCACGGCCACGCTGGCTTCCCTGCCGGGCTGGCCGCCCTGGCTGGCCGCCCTGCCACGCGCCTTGATGAAATAAAAGGAGAGCGGCTTAACACGGATGTACATAAAGCCCTTGCCTGCCAGCCAGGGTAATATTACTGGGCCGGTGAGGGCGAGGTGAGGTCGGACGGGGACTGCTGAGCGGCTCGTGACCACCGACCATGTAAATGGGGCCCGGCGGCGCGGCGGCCTGGCGAGGGCGTCGTCCACGGTGATGTCCACTTAGCCAAATAACCACGGGAGAAGAGCCCCCTCCGTGTTTTTTGGCTTTTTTTTTCGTCCCGGCTCGGTGAGTCTGTTGGGTGCTTGTATTGGCCGCGCGCCCCCGGCGCTACAGTGGTGGAGCCTACCCTACACTGTTGGCTGTGGACGGGACTACGGGACGGCAGACAGGGAGACATTGGTGAGGGCCTATCCAACCCACGGTCCAACCCATATTGCGATCGAACGGCAGTGTGGTGGCTGTCCCCGTCCCGGCCGGGCCTTGGCTTGGCCCCCGCTAGCCGCGCTAGCCTGGGCCGGCCTACGGGCCTTCGTGGGTCTTCGAGTCTCCCTGGAGACTGCCTATCTCGGCCGGCACGGCGGTCGCCCCAATCGCTCCACCGATCTGCTTGCATGCGAAGCAATGCAGAGCCCTCCTTTTCTCCACTGTACCTTCCACTGCTGGTTCTTCTCCTTCTTCTCCTCCTTCTTCTCCTTGCCGATGAAACTGCCGGTCGAGTGGCGGCCGAGCCCGGCCCCAGCAGCACGCGCGAGGCCCTGCTCCTCCTGGAGGTCAACGACTACGGCCAGGGCCTCGGCCAGGGCCGCCTCAAAGCTCCTCGCTCCGAACCGCGCCGCTGTGGCCTGACCGGCCCTCGCCTCTCAAAACACTCGGCGGCACGGGTTGCTTGAAAGGGGAGCTCAATGAAAGGCTCTTTTCCGTCGGCGCCGGGAGGGTAGGCAACGCGCCGGACGCGGCGAGTGGTCGCGCGGACACAGTGGCCGCGAACGCAGTGCTCGCGGACACAGGGCTACCGCCTGTGGACTCGAGGGTAGGCAACGCGCCGGGCGCCGCGAGCGCCTGCGGGACGGCGGGTAGGCACCACTGCACGACGCCACTGCTCGGCGGGCCGGCCCAGC